ACTTCTCTCCGGCAGCTAAGCTAGTTGGGTGGCGTGACGTCAATCAACTCTCTCGCTCTCTGGTTGCCTAGCAACAACCTGTTGAGTAACTTACGTAGCAGCAGTTTCGCCACGATGCCTCATAACTGCTGCAAAATAAAAAATAAAACAGGGGAGTTGAATGAAAACTGAGAATAAAATAAGAAAGAACGCGTCACCGGTTTGACAGTATTTCAGTCATTTAAAACAAAAACTAATCAATATTATCAAAGTCTACTGATGTGAAACGCTTATATCGTGATGCGTTTTTCAGCCATATTGTCCAGCTGTAGGTAAATAATTTCTTTGCAAAATGCCGCTTAAATTGTGACGCTAACGCCTGTTTTCAGTGAGTTTTAAAGTAAAAAAAAAAAGAAAAAAAGTGCCGCTTCAACATGAAGAGTGCAGCGCTGCTGCCCATGGATTTGTTATATAATGAGTGCAATGTTTTTACATGTTACTCTAAGGTGTTGCAAACATGGGCTTGTCTTTCTTGTGAAACAGACCAAAGAAATTAATCACCACCATTGATTTCTCAAGTGCATAGGAAGTATCACTGTGGGAATGATTCATGATTTAACAAAACAAATTTTTAACAGGTGTAATGACACAGAAACCAAATTTAAAAATTAACTCGTTAGAAAAGTCAGAAAAACCTGACCTAATATTTGCAAGTGAGAGCATCTGACACATGAAGATGGAAATGAAAAAAGTTTTCCATTTGTCTTAACTAACGGACTTACGCCACAAACTAATTCCTCCATTATTCCTTCCTGTACTTGTTACGCATTTGTGACCCAATCACCAGTGCCAGACATGTTAAGTCATGGTCAAAATAAAAATAAATAAACAAAACATACCTTCCTTCAACTCTAGTTTTAAATCAATCAAATATTTCTGGAGGCTTTGCATTTTTCATGAACTTCTACAATTTAGCCACATCTTTTCTTAATAAGTAAGTGCACCTAAACAACAAAAATTACGTTTGTTTCGCCCGTCAGAGAAAAAATACTAATAAAAATGTGTTTTCCAGTTTAGGAAGAAATTGTACACCCTGTGACTTCTCGTCGCTAATTACAGGAACAGTTTGCGCCTGGAGCTTCTGACTTTTTGGAGGTTTGTTAAAAAAATAAATGAATAAAAATTATTTTTCCAAGATTTTGTGTCAAGATTTTATTGTGCTTCTTTTGCTTGCCATTTATTCTTTGTATTACTTAACGATGACTTGCTGTACAGCGCTTCTTCGTGATTTCATGTCTCCAAAAAGTGCTTCATAAATAAGCGTTAGTTATTTACAGTGTGTGACATCAGTCTTCATTTTCTGCTTGGAGATGCTTGATGTTTTTTTCAAGTCATCTCAGTTTTTTTTTTTGTTTTTTTTTTTACAAACAGTATCAGATTTCCCTCATACATCCTGGTCAGATCCCCCACCACAGCATGACCCTTCCCCCTCCATGTGAGCTTATTCCACTGAATTCTGATCTTAGTTTTTGCCAAACATGTCTTCTGTTCTGGTGCACATCTTCAGTTTTTGATTAGTTTTACTGGTTTTCTCAGGCAAACCTCACTGTGACGTTTGTGTTTTCATTAGAGTTTCCTCACTTCCCAGGAAAGTCGAACATGTGGTCTCTTTCTGATTCAACAGTAGAAGGAAGCTGCTGTAATTCAATCAGTTTACAGTTTTTTGGAGACTTTATATAATTTGTTTTAGACATTTGTTGCAGCTGTCCTGAGGTTGTGACAGTATGATGCAGATAAACTATGAAAAAAGTTGTGTTTGTCTGCCTTCACAAAGTGCTAACGAGAAACAACCAATCAGAGACAGGAAGTGGGCTTTTCTGCTGTCTATCAAGCTCCTGTATGCGCACTAATCCCTCCACACCCCCTGTTCTCTGCTTCACTACAGCTGGTTCCCACAACATAGCCTGCCACGAATGCTAAGGCTAGTTAGCATAGCTACCGATGACAACAGTTTTCCTGTAATGGTAAGTTGTTTCTCTGTTATTAGCACAATTGTGTACACAAGTGTGATTGACAGCGCTAAGCCCCCTCTTCTTGGCTCTGATTGGTTGCTTTTGGCACATTTCTTCATACAGCAATAATAGCTCAGGGAGGAGGAGATTGTTTTTATTCCCCACAGATTATCAGTCTCCCAATGCACTTTCACAATGGTTTTAATCATTTTTAATAATACTGCAGCTTTAATATCTTGCATTGTGCTCTCAGGTTGAGCTTGTTTGGACGGCCAGACTTGTTGGGAGTTGTTCTGAACGCCCTCCGCTTACAGACTCTAAAGAGGAAAGGTTGAGTCCAAAGTCTTTGTTCAAGTCTCTTAAATCTCTCCAGACTTAAACGTTGCTCCAGTTTTCCCTCTGAAGGCGTTTAGATCTCGACGTGGCGTTCACTGACCCTTCAGCAGTCAGAAATACGCCAATCTAATCCTCTTAGATCAGCTACTTCGGGAGCTGATCTGATGTGATACTACGATTGATTTATGGCTCCATTTTTTTTCAAACTACATTTTACAGAAAATATTGAAGTTTTTTTTTCTTTCACTTTTTAGTTTAAATTTATAGAAGGCCTTAAGCTTTTCAGCACTATTAGAAACACAAAAGCACAAAAAGCAGCTGACCATTGAATTATTTTCACAGCAGCTACAACTGCAGTAAATCATATTTTTACAAAGTTCTCAAACGCACTCCACACTTTTAAGATTTTTGTTTTGTGAAGGAAATTTATCCTTTTCTGTGTATTTGCTAGTTTTGCAGATAAAATACCCTTAAATTACACAGAAGTTTCTGATTTTCGATGAAATGTGGAGAGTAGGTCTACAAGGAGCTACAGTCGCCTTTACTTCCTCGACTGTATGGCCCGTTTATTATCTACACTTTTGTTGAATCACACTGGAAAACAAAGGCTTCTGTTGATTTATGTGGATGTTGTCATGTGTACCGTGTGGAGAGTGAGGCAACCAAAAACATTTATTTCAAATTGGGGAAAAATATCCTTCTCTGGGTTGCCAGGTAGTCAAAAACACATTAAGTGGATCTTACCACAGCGAGGATGAAATTTTATGTGCACTCATAATTTAACGATCGATAGGGAAGTTGGAGCTGGAGAATTTAGTCTTAGATTTTCCACCAACCTGAAGGACTTTTCTTATGGTGCCAGGAAAGTGTTACAAGGAAACCAGCAGTGTCCAAACTGAAAGACAACAGAAAACCTGTCATCTTGACATTAGTGATCACAGAGAAGTTTATATTGACACGAGTTTATGACCAGTAATTGTACAGCCACTTAATTTATTTTAGCAGTAAACTACTTTTGAAAATGTACAGTAAGTTACTGACAGCTAAATCAACCAGTATTTTACCGTTTCTTTTAAAGAATCTATGTTTACTGTCAGAATAAATTGTGGTATAGATAAAGTAACTATCAGTCAAGTAACTATGTTCAAATCAGTTGCTAAAGAAATGCTGCATATCTCACAAATGACTTAAAAGAAATTTCGTTTCATAATTTAACGACTTGAAATTGGGCCTCTGTCTCTTTAAGAAGCTCCTGCTCTTTCTGAAACTCCACCTTTAGGAAGTCATCACAACATGGCTCCTCTATTAAAACTTTAACAATGTTTTTACCAGTGTTGCACTGAGAAGTAGCTCCTATAATGAGCTCAGCAGATGCTCAGGTCCACCAGGTGTTTGCTAATTGCTCCGGGCTAGTCTGAAGGAGCTGAATGCAGTGGAGGGCTGCTCTGTGAGGTTAGAAATTGCAGCTCTGAGAAGGAGCTTCGTCCTCGAAGGCGGAGCTAGATCCACCCTGGCGTTTTGCACAGCTGAATGGTTGCTATGGAGATTAAAAAATTTCTCAATAATGCAAGAGAGAACCAGAGCAACACTCCAGGAAAAGTTGATTTTACACACTACTGCCCCTTTAAGGTGCAAAGCATCTTTTATTGACGGTCTTTGCACAATGTCCCTGTCTTAAATAAACTAATAAACTAAAACTGGAAGAACAACGCCAGCATGTTTTCACCGTCAAGGTGAACATCGGTGAGCCAGACCCAGGTGTTGTTTCGCAAGAGAGATGACGACTAGCGAATGCTAGTGTTTTCAGAGGTCTGCTCCTGCTGGAGGGAAGCTGAGTGTGACGCATTCCAGGGATTCAACCTGAACTCACAATTACTCGCAGTTCCTCTAAACCACGAACTTCACAAAAGAGGAACCTTTTGGTTGACTGGTGATAAAAAGACATTTGATCTTTGAAGGTTCGCTCATGTAAAACCACACTGAAACCACAGCAGAGCGAGACAGAGAGAGGAGGAGGAGGAGGTGAGTCAGGGTTGGGTAGAACAGAATTAAACATTACAAGGGTTTTATGAAGCATTTGTATGAGAAGGAAGACAGAATGGAAAAAACAGACTCCAGAGACCAGATTACTTCATCACCAAAGTGAACGCTATGACTCACTGCCCTCAGATAAGTCACAGAACAGCAAACGGGGAGCAGAAAGTGAGTTCAGTGGACCGCAGCAGAAAGTGAGGATGAGGATGAACTCTTTATTAGTCGCACTTTAATGATCCGGCTGGTTTGGTTTTAAAGTGGACCGTAAATCCCGGAGAAACAAAAAGGAAGAAACGAACCTGCAGACAGCATTGCAAAGGCAAAGGCAAAGGCAAAGCTTCCTTCGCGTGTTTACATTGTGGGGAGCCGAAAGTACACCTCAAACATCTTGAGAGAAAAGCAACATTCAACTTATTACCCAATAAAAAAGTCTGGAAGGGGGCCTCGGCCCTTTCGGTTCTTGAGTACTGCGGAGCCAATGGAGCTCCCCGCTAACCGCTTCTGCGGCGATGCAGACGGAAAACATCTCTGGTTTGGGTTCCCGTCAGGAGGCCGAGGAGAAGTCAGGACTCCGGCCAAGGCGGGAGACGCTGGAACTGGGATAAACAACGGCAGATTAACACCGTGAGGAGGGACGAGTGGTGATGAGCAGCTGGGATAACGTGGAACGAGGTCGCTCAGATTCCCTGGCTTAGCTAATCACCAAGTCGACCTTAGGAAGATGAACTATTCCCATGAAGAAAGATGAGTGCTGAAACAACGTGAAGTGATTAGCTAAAGGCTCACTCTTCAGGTTAACACTAAGCAAAAAGTAGATTATTCAAATGTACGCCTAGTACACTTATACTAAAACTATATTTGATACAGAGGTGCAGAATGTAACATTTATAAGAGACACATACAGAAAACCTGATTTTTTACATATTTGTTAAAACCGTCACCACGTGGTGACGGTCTGGTTGTGAAAAGATCGATCTCCTCCACCTCTTCCCTGAGGCTATGCTAGCTGCAGCGTAGCAGAAAACAAAGGGGAAGAGAGACTATTCTAATGTGTTCAGTATGGTTTATTATTGAAATTCAACTGACCAGGAAGTGTGATTTTTAACATTAAATTGGGACATTTAAAAAAAAATCGTATCAACGGAAAATGTGGAGTTGCGGTTTCCATTGGTATTTGACAATCTTTAAACATCAGACTCAAGTCAGGACATTTGTATATCAACTGTCTGATCTTTGGCGATTAGCTAAAAAGTAATGTTTGTAAATTACAGGATCAAAATGTGAGGACAGACGAGCTTTACTTTATAAAGCGTCTGGATAATCTTCCTAAAATGATCACTTCTGCTCATTTCACCAGAAGTGATTCCCCCCTCCCAAAAAATGGCTTAGGCACCGTTATTTTAGGAAGGTGACGATGTCAGTCACCTTGAACATCCTGCTCTGATTTTGGTGAAAGAAACCTTAGATCAAGAATCAGATTTAGAGATTTCAGAATATTTGTCAAATATTGACCCGTTTTCCTTTATAAACAAACTTAACAGTTTCAAAAAAATCCAATTTTATGTTGAATTTAATTTATTAATTCTTCAAAAAAAAAAAAGTCAACCTGTTATAGTCTATAGGACTTCAGTTTTGTAAAAGTCTGGTGAAAAAACAAAACAAAAAAAACACCAAGAAGTAATGCATTTAAAAATCTTTTTATTCATAATTTCTTCTTCAAAACACACTTTTCTGGTGTACATTTACGTTTTCCGTTCAAAAAAAAAAGGAAAACTCAAGTGAGGTAAAAGTGCTGAAAAAAGAAATAGTACCATCGTAACCATCAGTCATCGTCTCCATCACAGAGCTGACAGAAATGCTGGTCTGCATTTACTATTTCAAAGAGAGAGAGAAAAAAAAGTGCGACAAATTTCATGTTTTTCCTCACTTTTTATATTTTTTTTAATTCACCACACCCATCCCTTCATACACACATGCTGACGTGCGCTCACACACACACACTTCCACGCATTTAGGTAAACACAGATCTGCCGGGGGGGGGGGAAGGGGGGGAAAATTATTCACAACTCTTTACAAAGAAACTGTAGGAGAGCGTAGATCCTCCCATCACATTCTTGAGACTTTCACTTCAGACAAGCAGAATCACTAAATATCTACACTGTAGAGCACTGTACGCTCCCCGCCCCCGAAAACACAATAATACATCTACAGGTGTCGAATGAAAAACACTCTGTACTGATAAACAATGGCCCAAACAAAGGGAGGGGAGTGACACTGAAGTGACAAGCTTACAGCAGAAAGGTGGGAGCCAAAAAATTTACACCAAAAAAAAAAAAAAAAGCAACCTATACACCTCATTCTGTTTAATTCTCCTGCAGAGTCCTTCACAAAGAGTTTCTACATCCAGATGCGTCACCAGCCCCCTTTAAGGAAGGGGCGCAAGACCCGACTGCTACGGGGGGAAAGCTTTCGCCGACGCCAACCGTAAACACAAGAAAGCAGACCGGCAACGAACCCCACCCCCCCAAAAAAAGCACAAGACTGACATTCTAGGCTGTGTTCACCCTCAACTCAAAAATGCAAAAATTTAATTTCATGCATTTTCTTTGACTTCGCTTAAAAACGAGCGTTAACGAGCGACGCCAACAAAGGCCTGGCGCTCATCGGCGAGCAGGAGTCGGGCCGAACAATTATTCACAGAATATACGCAGACAGCGGAGAGATTTCAGGCTGCTGTTCGCACCCCCAAGTTAAAGGTCTGTTATATGGGAAGGGAAGTAGTTTTAGTGATAAAAAGCACAGACTGTCCTCGGAGTAATGTCAAAGTTAAATCTGGGGTCTCCCACTGCATCACCGTTTAAATGCTGAGGGAAGAGAACTGCCACAGTTGAGGAAAGCTATGGACAAGAGTTAAAAGAAAGGGTGAGAAACATAAAAAAATTAGTCACGATTTTAATCCAGAGACCGTCAGCAGCCATTAGCTACTCTCCATGCCTCACAGGTGGCTGGGTGTGAAGTACAAGGTCTCTGCACAACACGTCAGGCAGTTTGAGATCAGGAAACCAAACTAAGTGTTGGCTCATCAGGAGGCGCTCTGATGGAAGACTGACAGCTAAACAGAGATATAAAATATGAAACATTTCCTCTGTGAATGGAACAAACTAGATTTCTTGGCGCGTCTGAGGCTGAAGCGCAGCGCGGACCGTAAAACCAAACGACTGAAAGGCCCGGCAGGAACGGCTATACAGGCGGGCTCGAGACCAAACAGAAAATCAATTATTCTCGCCACAAAACTGGACAAAAACGTATGAAGTTACCCATAAAAGAAAAATGGCAACAACAGTTCTACGATAATTTTGTTGAGTTTTAAGAAACAAAATACACTCCTGCCTCCTGATTAGCATTAAAACCCCTTTAAAAATATTCAGCTCTCCAAAAAACAAAAACAAAAAACATGTGACAGGCACTTGATTGTTTCAGTTGCTGGTTGTGAAGCTGCCTTTGGTCCAGAGCTGACAGCAGGGAACATAATGATGATAATAAATAAACAGGAGCCGGCCTCCACGCGACCTGCAGGCGAGAGGCCGGTCGTCCTCCGCTACGCGAGCCTGATAAGGTTATCTGCCTCCGCCACCAGGCGCAGAGACGAGCGGCAGCAGGAATCTGACTTCCAAGACACCGCGTGGATGTGGGCGTAGCCGCTGACGCGAGTCCGACTATCATCTGCTCTGTGGCGATATCGGGAAGAGACGGCACGCTGCAGCACTCGGCTTCCAGCGTTAACAGCTAATAATAGGGGTCACTGGAAATAGAAGTGTGGAGGTTTGCAGCCGGTGAGGAGGGCTGCCTGTCGCCTTCACATTCATCAATACTCAAGTCTGAGAGGGGGAGACGTTCCGTCTGTCCTCCCATGACCACAAAAGGGGGTTCAAACGCAGCGTGCACCTGCCGGACAGGAAGTGACTCAGCACAGACGCATGTAAGGCCGAGCCGGTCCCCAGGAGGGCTCGGAGGATAATAATAGCTGGAGTCGAGCTGTGCGTCAGAGGAGGATCCCGTTTCAGGGAGCCTGCGAGGGACAAGCCCTGCGGGGCCCCACCGTGTGCGGCGCCTTTTAAGGGAAGAGCTGCCGGTCGGCGGGCCCGTCACGCCGCTCCCCTGCTACGGGTCACCATCCGACCAGAACAGACTGCAGGTCACTCGCAACTTCTTCTGAAAGCAACTTAAAAACAGAGGCAAAGAAACGATGAAAAACAACGAGACATTTCCACTCCAAGCCGGGCTCAACTGGGAAAACTGAACCCCGTGATTCTGGGCCTGAAGTTCACAGTGGAAAATCTTAATACATAATAAAGTTTTGCATTGTGTACAAATATCAGGCACTGCTGGCATGTATAGGGCTGGCACATTGTCAAAGATGAAAACAAACCGCTGACTAATCCTTACTTCCTGTCTTTTAGCAAGCGCATCCCAAATCCTCCCCAATGTAATTTTGCTTCATTTTTTTCAGCCTTTTTCTGATTTTTTTTTTTTTTTTAAACAAACAAGAAGGAACCCAAACTGAAGGCTACAGCATTTACATTTTCCCTTTTCTTCTAACAGTCCATACTCAAAACTCTGGAGTAAACCTGATACCTCTAGGTTAAGGCACAAACACATCTCCATTAAGATTAAAGGCATATACCAAGTCAAAAAAGAAAAGAAAAAAAAAAAACACTTAAAAATGTTAAACACCTCTGCAGAAAAGGAATGGGAAAGAATAAAAAAAAAAGAAAACACCAAAAGAAAAAAAAAGCAAAACATTTGTCCACTGAAAAATGTGCCTTAAGAGAAACATAGCATTTATTGCCACTGGGTAATTTTTTTCAGACATTTTTCCCCCTTTTAATTTTTTTTTATATCTTTTTATGCCAAATCAATTCCTTCTCCTCCTCTGTTGAAAAGCAGCATCCGCAGCCAAAACAAGCCTTCCCGGGTCGCCCTGCCGGAACCCTGTTTCCGTTTGGTCAGTTACACGGCAGCCATGTTGGAATGTTCTGGTTCGCCACATAGTAGTTGCTGAAGTTGTGGTCTCTGATGTAGGGCGCCGGCTGGTAGTAGCAGGTGACGCAGGATGCGTCCGGGATGGCGCTCTGCTCCGCCAGGACCCGGAAGGCCATCAGCGACAGCAGGTGCAGCGTCTGCCGCCGCTCGTGGCCCATCAGGCACACGGTGCTCTCGTTCACCACCTTGCGGAGGATCTGCAGGTAGTCGTACTTGCTCTTCTCCTCGCCGATGAAGTGGCTCATCAGGTAGGCCTCCACCTTGCGCTGCTGCTCTCCGATGTCGGGAAAGTCTATGAAGAAGCGGGAGCACATGTAGCGCTCCAGGGCCTTGAACTCCTCCTGATTGGCCGGCCGGAAGTCGCGCACCAGCAGGTTGCAGTACTTGAGCAGGCCGCCGCCGCGGATCTCCTCGGGCCGCTTGGTGGCGATGAGCTTGTTGCGCAGGTGGCCGAGCGCGGCGTTGAAGTCTCCGTACACGCTCTCGCCTCGGACGGCCGGGTGGAATTGCTCGGACATGGCCGCCGCCGGCTGCTCGTAGTGGGACAGGACAGAGTCCAGCACGATCTGAAACGAGTCCACGCTGAACTCAAACTGCCGGCGTATCGAGTCGACAAACTTCAGCTCCACGTTGCGGCCGTTGTTGTTGGACAGCGAGATGAGGCTCCAGCGGTCCTGCTCTGTGTTGACCTTCACCAGCTTCTGGACGTAGGCCTCCTTCAGCGTCATGGGGGTGATCTTCTCCTTGTTGACGCCCTCGGGCAGGAAGTCCAGCAGAATCCCCAGCACCACGTCTTTGACCAGCCGGAACTCGGCCTCGGTGGGCAGGTCCACCCGGAAGATGAAGTCCAGGTCCTTGTAGCTCCAGCCGATGTCCTGGACCAGCACGTGGCTGGCCGTGGAGCCGTTGAGCCGGATGTCTTTGACCCGGATGCCGCTCAGCTCCAGGTGGGAACGCACGCGCGCCACGATGTCCTTCAGCTGCACCTCCAGGGTGGGGAAGTTCCCCCGGCCGTGGACCGGGACCACCTCTGTGAGAACGTCGTTCAGCCGGCTCACCTGCTCCCAGGTGAGGTCGCTGACGGAGCTGCAGCTGGATTCTTCCTTGTTCTCCATCCTCACGCAAGCTTCAAATTTACTGAGGTGGAGAAACAAGCGACTGTTAGCAGGAGGGTCAAAGAGGTCAATCAGAGCAAGCAACACGAAACGTACGAGCTGGATTCAAACCCAAAAACCAGACCCAATCAGCTGATCTAAAGTAAACAGGCAAAATTAACTTTTAGTTTTATGCCTTCAGTTTCTCAACTACATCCCAGGTGCAAGTTGATAATAAAGGATTATTAGAAATCTTATACTTTGACACTTGCAGCCTGTCATTTGTACTTTGTGGCCACATTTTATTTTATTTTGAAGGAGGAGTATGTAGATCACACTCCATGTTGCTGGTTGTTGTGTTTACAGTGGGTGGGACTTAACATTTTAATGGAGTTACTATAGGGTCTAATTAATCAATAATATTTTAATTGAAAACTAAGAGAATAAGCAACATTTTAAATTCAAAAGCCAGTTTTACTGCTAAATTATTGAACAGACAGACGTATAAGAACAACAAGTGTACATGTTTTTAATCTGTTTTTTAGGTCATTGAACCATCAGATTGGTGCAAAGTACTACTACACCCATTCAGTTTTCAAGTATTTCAGGAAGTACTGCTCACTCATGGAACTGCTTAATAAATGTGGACTGTGAGCGCCGACATCAGCGTTGGGGACGTCTGTGCTGCCACATCAAGTTTAGCATTGAGATGCTAGTTCAGCATGAATAGCTGCGCTGATAGGATAACTCCTGTAGCACAACAATAGTCTTTTCCAGCGTCCAATCAGATTGTTTTTTGAAACAAAAATTAACCCCCGGAGGGCCAAGAGAAGCAGCTTTGTCACTTGTGCATCAGATTTACAGACGTACCGGAAACACGCTGCTTACATACAAGGGTCCAGGCCTGAACCTTTGTATGTATTAAAAAAAAAAAAAAAAAAAAAAAAAAAAAGCAATTAATTTAGTTAAAAATCGATGTAATTATTCCAAAATGAATGTGCTAAAGTCTTAGTTCTTAGTTTAAGGCACTTAATGAAGCGGGAGAAAAAGAAAGATAATCTGCTGATTACAGAACAGAATAATTGTTGCATCTCTGGCTTCCATCTTCATAAATATTCCACTTTTTTCTTTTTCCATATAAAAAGAAAAAAAGGCCAACAGTGAAGACTCCTGCTACCTAAAAGTTCAAACTTTAATGAATTATTGGAAAAAATAAATAGAATTGAGCATTTCATCATACTTATATTAACCCTTTTATCTCTTTAATCAGTTTATCCATTTATCACTTTTTTCATCATTTTAGAATGTCATATAAAATGTCACATCTAAAATGTCTAAAGGTTGAATTTGCTCGTTTTTAAATCTTGTTCTGCAGCTGTCTAACCCAGGACACTCTTTCAAATGAGATTTTTAATATCATGAGCTTTTTTCCTCATGATATTAAAAATAAAAAGTTGAAAAGAAAGCTGCACATTCATACAACCTCAGTAAAACGCCTATCAGCACATGATCAGACCATGTTTTATTGGTAGAGCGGAGCAGATCAGCTGTAAATGCAGCCTGGTAACGTAAAGTTGATTTTTGGATGTAGCACATAATGAAGCTCTGTATGAGTCAGATGTCAACAGTTTGATGACATCTGACTGCGAGGTTTACCGTGTGGTTCATTCGCCATGAACTGCTGCCCAGGGAAGGATTCAATGTTACGCCGACAGATGGTTGACATTACATTAAAACATGAAGGCTTCTGGAAGATGTCACGACAGTTTACTGGAGTGTATGCCTCAACTGCGCAGCGCCGTTTCACAGCTAATCAGAAACTAAACACCCAGTTTAAAAACACACCGACTTCAAAAAACGAACAACTCTACCAGTTTCGCAAGTTAGCCTTAGCTGAGGTCGAAAGTTGTATAACAAAACCCAGTCCGCACGAGCGGAGCTGAATGTGAGAACGACACGAGCAGCTCGCGCTCGCGGACACACAGAACAGAGCTCGTGAGCCTTCTAGAAAAGTTCACCGCGCGAGCCTGGCTTTCATTCCAGAACGGCTGAGAGACAAACACGAGCTGCCATCAAACCATCCGCTAAACGACCCCGACGGGCTCCGTGGAGCCGCTGCGAGTAAATTCATCTCTACAGACGTTCACAGACCAACTTTAATACGTGGTGACTCAATAATGTCACGAGAAAACGCGCTTTTAATCAATTAAACCTGCTTGAGCACGACATACGCTAAAAGTATCAACGCAGACACCTTACTTTGAAGGTAGCATTGATATCAAAGTTGCTAATTATAAACTCAACTCCAGCCATATGGCAACGAGTCTGAAGCTGTTTAGCAAGTTAAGAGTTTGGAGCAAACCAGAGAGGGATTCTTATGTTAAAAATATCCAAACGGTGTCACATTTTATTGTCAGGGAATTGTTAAAGTAACCACACAAATTTACATACAGCATTTTTTGGAGGGGATATAAAGTTAGCACAGTTTCGCCTGAATAAATAAATAAAAATAATAAGAAAAAGCAGTACATACGTTACCAAGAGAGTGCAGTGGAAGCATTCAAAGTCCGAAAAAGATGTTGAATTCACCCACACGCCTCCACATAATCCACTATCTGAAAGAGAGGAACACGGTGAGCTTGCAAGTCAGCGTTTGAACCACAACCTCTCTGCACAAGACACGCCTATTTTATAAAGCCGAAGTACTACTCGTTGAAATAAATGCGCCGTAGTACGACACAGTCCCTCTTCCCAACCCGGCCGCCATTTGGTAACGCCAAACAAAGCTATGAACCACACAGCGGCGAATAATTTGTGTAATTAGTATAATTACCTAATAATCCAAACACTTATCTTCGACAAGTCATATCAGATGTTTGAGTTGAACTGTTCCATTATACCAATGCGCCAAACAAAGCCTTTGATTGGTCAAGGATGTTTTTTGCGTTGCCAAGTTACCAGAAGCGTCCACAGGCAGCCGGGGTTTGTGACGTCTACTGTCACGTGGTGCAAGTTAAAGAGCAGCTGTGCGGCTCGGGCAAATTACTTTTATGAGACTTTGCTTTTATTAGTTTGTTTCTTTTTCGCGCTTTAACTCTATTGCGTTATTAGCTGCTTGTTAATCATAGATATTTTGCTGCTAAAAGTACAAGTTCTTTCATTATTCAGCTAAATATTTAAACTTGATTGAAGGCTCTTTTTTATTTTAATTTCCCTTTGGGGTCAATAAAGTTTTTCAGATTTAATTTTACATATATTGAGCCATATTCATAAATCTATTCATAGCTATTTAGTTGTCTTAAACCCAGTATGTGTATATCAGGGGTGGTTTTGATATGGTTCATATGGGCGGTTGCCCAGGGCAGCATTAGAAAGGGAAGTGCATCAACACCAGATAACTACAAATTAAACTTATCTGTCAGATGTTCCTTAAACAAGTTTTCTATTGCTTTTATGCACTTCTGATATTGAAATGCTTCTAGCAAATGTATTTGAAATGAAATTTCCAGCTTATTATGTCACCCATATTTTCACCAAGGAACTTGTTTTCATACACTTT